TTCTTTTATTTTATGCACGACCCCACAACTTTTAGCTTTAAAACTTATCGTGTTAAAATAAAGGCTTTCTATTCTATTCTATTCTCAGTATTCTATGAAAGATGGCCTCGGTCGCTTAAAAGTGTCAGCTTTCTATATATGAAGCTACCCCGAGTTTTGTCGCTTTTACTGCGGGTTGCTGCGTGGGGCAGCCCAAGCGCCTGGCGAATGTGCAACTGAAACTCACGAACAAAGTGACAGTCGGGTTCTAGTCCCATTTCTACTTCAGCAGGATGTTTTTGTTTTCGTTCTCAGATTGCAAGAGGAAGTCAGTATTTATGTACCCAATTAGGTACCAGTCTTTCTCTTAACATCAGTTACCGTTACTTCGGTAGATGAATGCTGAAACATACGAAACGTGAATTTTGATGTTAACAACATCAAATAATTGCTGCGAAGCGAACGTAACGAGCGAGCAGCAACAGGATTTAAGAAGAATATATAGAAGGGGGTACGAATTCTCGAATTTAGCACTTTTTACCAGAATGCATTGCATTTAACCAGAGTACACTGCGCCACTTTTTACCAGAGTGCCTTGCGCCACGAACAACACGAGAACGCCTTTTCGCGTGGATTCCAGTGAGAAAGATTAGTGATTGTGTTTTGCTCTGATTTACCTGGAAAACGACGTGAAGGAGATTGTGCCTGACTTTCACAACTCTTGCTTTTGTTCTTAATGCAGTATTTGAAAGTTTGAAAATCTGGGCGATTGATTGTGACATCTTAATTTTAAACATAGTGTGTCATTTCTTAGCTGTCTCGCCTACTTGGCCGAATTCTTAAAGTGCAGAGAAATCGTCGCTCCTAAAGCTTGTAGAATAATTAAAACAAATGAAAACCGTAGAACACGCTAATTTCGTATATGCTGCGATCTATTCCTTTTCATCCAAACATGAATTTAAGCTAAAGCTTTAGCATTTTCACACGTCGCGATGGACGCGTCTTCGACGCAGTCTGTCAACATTCTGGAGACATTTAATGCGTATCAGTACAGAATTTATAAGTTAGATTTCTGCCCAATTTCCACATCTTTCGATTTTCACCGTCTGGTAAGGGGGAGATTTATGTGTATCTTTTTATGTTCAAACTTAGTTCAGATCACTATGTGCTTTTTTGTCACGATCCCTTGTCACACCTCGCCATCTATGCGTCATCATGCATGAAGTTGTAGATGAATCACTGCGTAAAACATGTCACTATCAACAGAATGTGCCGTAACATTATTATCTTTTAGATACCCTAGTTTTTATGATATGGGTTGTTTGTCATGTTTATCGCCGTAGTGTGCCTTAAGACTGTTTTGTATCGCATCGGCGGGCAAATTAAAAACTTACCGGCTTAGTGAAACTGAAAAAAAAAAAATTACTTTACACATTTTTCAAACTTTAATACTTCCGGAACTAATGCAAATATTTGCAAACGGAAAACGGCGATTCCAATCTTTCGAGGAATGCTATGTAGCACACTTATGCTGTGTTTACATTTGAGCTTTTACCAAGGTAAACAGTTACTAAGGTCCAGTTACTTAACCTTAGTACATTCGTCCAGTGTTTATACCGGCTCAAATAACTCAAGTTGATCTTTCAACATTCCCGCGCGCTGCATTATCAACGTCATGAAATCGAACTTGGACGAGGATCCCACGGCAGCGGAACAGGAGCAAACTGAGGTGCCATCATTTTCATAGGCGAGGACCTCATTCCATAATATGGCGGCGAAAATTCAGCTGCTTGATCATACCCAGAGTATGCATGGTTATACGCGCAGAAACGTGGATATGTTGTAACTGCAGCCTCCTCTCTGGTGGCAAAGTATATCGA